GTAAGTAGTATTTTAGTAATTAGTAATACTAGACTTATTAGGATAATAACTAGGAGTGCTAAGTCTACTATAATAATACTTTTAAGTATATAAAGCATACATCTTAAACCTATACCTAGTGCTACTCTTACTTAAAAAAGTGTTCCCTTAGAATAAGGGCTACGCCTATAAAGTAGACTAGGTCTAGTAATAACTAGTCTCCTAGAAAATAGTAACTACTTCCTAAAGTATAGCTATTATTAAACTAGGGTTTCTAGTAAAGTTATATAAGGGTGTAGTACTAGGGTGTATTATTCCTTATAGTATTAGCTTTAAACCTTCCCTAGTTAGTTTAAGTACCTATATAGGGAAAGAAGCTAGGTATTTAGGGTAGGCTAGTATTATAGGTATATTATAAACTAGTACTATAGCTAGCTTATCTATAGGCGTATAGAAAGTTAGTAGATAGGTAGGGATTTAACAGAATAAAATATATAAAGACTATCTTAAATAAACCTCTTTAATTATTAATATAATAATTATATAATAATAGTATAAACCTAGTTACTTAACTAGCTAGGGAGTTCCTAGGAGTTCCTAGGAGTTTATAGGAGTTTGTAGGAGTTTATAGGAGTTTATAGGAGTTTATAGGAGTCTATAGGAGTTTATAGAAGCTTATAGGATAATAGTAGTATAGGATAATAGTAGTATAGGATAATAGTAGTATAGGATAATAGTAGTACAGGGTATTAATAGTATAGGACTACTTAATAGTTGTAATAATAAGGGGGCGGCGATAGTATAGGATAGTAACAATAGGAGTTAATAAGGTAGTAGAGATAGCAGGCTTATTTTCTAAGACATATAATCTTAACAGGGTGCGCTCTAATAGGTTAAGTATATTATAATTAGACCTAATAGCAACCCTAACTATATAATTATTATAGGAACTAAAAGTTAATATACTACTAGTAGCTAATACTATTCTAGGATAATAAGGTATAAAAATATTATTTTAGCTACACTACACTAATTATATCTATATATCTGCTACACCCTTATAAATACTACTAATATCTATAGTAGGATTATTAATAATATTATAACTACTATATATAACCTCTATATAGGTAGCTATATCTATAAACTCTAGCGTGTTAATATTAGAATTATTAGTAATAAGAGGTATAAAAGTTTAGGTTAACTGCCTAGTATACTAACTATTAAACTGCGCAACCTTCTCCTTAAGCACGTCTATACCTACCTAAAAGATATTAAGTAAATTAAACATATCTATCTTATTAACCTTAGATTTATCCCTACTATTACTATAACTACTATTATATATTACCTACGTAAGGAGAAATATATTATCTAGCGCCTAAGTAGTAGTGTGTAATAAGGATATAGCCTTGCTATAGAGATATTTAAAGTATTCCTATATATCCTAAAGCTAAGTATTATAAAGCGTAGCCTGTTAGAATACTATACTAATATTATAGGTAGAGTTTTTATTATTATAAAGGTCTAGCTTATAGTTATAGTTTAAGTGCTCTAGCGTAAGGTTAATTAGCTTAAATAACCTAGCTTATCTACTCTAATTAATAAGGCTAGATAATAAGAAGGCCCTCTATAGGGCTAGTAAGTTAGTAGATAATAGGTACTACTAATAATATAATATCTCCTATCTATAGTTATTTTATAATACCCTAAAGAATATTATAATTAGTAGATCTACTAGTTAATAAAGTAACCTAATATCCCTGTGCTTTACTGCGTGTTACACTATTAAGAATATTTTAACTTCCTAGAGTAGGCGTACTATAGTCTAAAAGTCTATATCTATAGTAGTACTACTTTAAGTAGTATATATAAAAGCACTTACTTATATATCTTTAATAAGCTCTATAAACTACTTAGTAGATAATAACTAGATTAGGTCTTCTATATATAATACCTAGCAAGATAGCCTAAGTAGTAGAAGATAATCTAGAAGTCCTTAATACCTTATTACTATATAAAATAGTACTATAACTCTAGATATAAAACCCTATACTACTATTAGCTCTATTAAGTAATATTTAATATTATCCTAAGTATTTTATATTTAATCCTAGTAAGTAGCGTTACTAGATATATAATATATATTAGAATATTACTATAAAGTAGGTTTCTAATAGGTCTAGATAATAGTGTGTAGCAAGTTTATCTAAATATAAAACTAAGCAGGCGCCCCCTATAGCTAATGTCTTTAATTATATAGCTAACTTACTCTAGCCTACTCCTATTAGATACTATAAATACGCTTAGCTATTAACTAGTTACTATAAATAAGGAATAGCTATTTAGTAAAATTATTAGTATTAGTTAGGTTACTACTTATATAGAGTCTAAGTTAATACAAGAAAATATTATTATAGATAGTATACGTGCCCTTTATTATACCCTTATCTATAGTAATACCTATAAACTACTAGAACTTTATCTTCTATATAGGTAATAACTCTAATACTAGGAACTCTAGATATTTAGATAAACCCTTAAAGACGTGTTAAATAGCGCGTAGATAGAGTTGCTTTATAGCGTCTGCTATAAGGACACTTAAGATACTTGTCTCTACCCTATCCCTACCTATAATCCTATACCTAGTTATAATATCCTATACTCTTAATAGTATACTAGGGTTATATATATCCTAAGTAAGACTACTAGTTAGTAGATCTTTATAGATAGATAATATTATATTTATAAAGGATTAAAATATTATAGTGTAGCTAGCTTCTTTATTATATTTCTAGTCTATAAAATTAATATTATTATAAGTAATTATAGCCTAAGTATATAATAATAATATTTTAAGTTACTTCTATAATAATATTAGTATTAATATATTATAATAGTCTATAGGAGTTTATAGGAGTTTATAGGAGTGTATAGGAGTTTATAGGAGTTTATAGGAGTTTATAGGAGTTTATAGGAGTCTATAGGAGTCTATAGGAGTTTATAGGAGTTTATAAGAGTTTATAGGAGTTTATAGGAGTTTATAGGAGTCTATAAGAGTCTATAGGAGTTTATAGGAGTTTATAGGAGAATTAAGAAGTTCTCTTACTATATAAGATAATATACTATTACCCTCTTCTTCTATAATATTTAATAAGAGATGCTTATTAGTATATACTATAGTATATTTAGTAATCTCTGCTATTAGACTATTTATATAATAATAGCTATAGTATAACCTAAGGCCTGCTAAAGTCTTAATTACTTACTAGTGTACACCTAATCTAAGGAGATAGGTATTAAGATAGGATAGTAGAGTATTTAAGGTCTTTCTATTTTAAGAGAAATATATTATACTTATAATTATAAATATATAGTAACTAATATAATTATTCTTATTTAAGCTACTATATAAGGAATAGTATTAGTAGATATTTATAAGCAAGTCCTAGAGGAAATAAAACTAAGTAGGCGCGTGTTGCTAGATAATAAGAGTTGCACACTTTATATTAAGCTAATCTAATAATATATTAATTATAAATTAACTAAATAGTAGGAAGTTTACTAGCCTAGCAAGTTTAGTCCTATAGTAATAAACTATAGATATACTCTAGTAAATACCCTACTCTATAAGAGTCTCTAGTACTCTTACTAACGCCCTCTAGCAATCTTTCTACCTATAGTATCTTTAATAGGATAGTTATACGTCTACTTAGCTACTATAATCCTTAAGGCTAGCCTACGCCTCTACTATTTCTTTAAATAACTACCTAACTTGTTAAAGTATTTAAATAACTACTTCTAATTTAGTATACTTGTTTAAATATTTATAACCTTTATAGCTACCTATAAGGGTTAGTATAGACTCTTAGCCTATATTACTACTAAAGATATTCTTATCTTTAGTACTATATATTATAGTAATATTTATTACTAGTTTAATAGAGCTAAGATAGCCCTAAGATAGTATATTAAGGGCTAATAGTATAGATAAGAGTAGGCTAAATAGTTAATTTAGAGGAGGGCTATATATCTAAGAAAATAAGCTAGGTATAGCTATAATATATATAATTAATAGAGAATATCTTAAATATTAATTTACTTATAGAGGTAAGACTATAATATATTATAGTAGATAGGATATATTAGGTTAAGTTATATACTATCTCCTTATATAACCTAAATCTAAGTATTACTAAAACCTATCCTATTATTCCTTAGACGCTCTAGCAAGCTTTGCCCTATAGCTAGCGTGATTAGTTAAGGAGTTTTTAGCGCAACGCTAATCCCTTTAGAGTTCCTAGGAGTTTTTAGCGTTGCACTAGCAGGGGTAAAAGCTCGTTAGAGCGTTCTAATGAATGAGATAAGCGCTTGTCCTCTTCATCTCCCTCTCTTCTCGTGTTCATTTCTCGTCTTCTTGAACCTGCCCGCCCTGATTTCTTCCCTCTCTTCTTCTTCTTCTTCTTCTCTTTCTTCTTCTTATTCTTCTTCTCTTTCTTCTTCTCCAGCTTTCACGATTTGACGCACAATATCTTTGAGAAATTCCACTGCTACAAAAGCACGCTTGTGTGGCTCTCTATTTCTACTTGCCCACCCAGTCAGCTGGGGGAAGACAGTCCCAGAGATTGATCGTTGCCATAAGATTACCCAAAAGTCAAGGGTGTGTGGTGCCATAGTCTGTTTGTGGACCTTAGCAGTTGCCGACTTGCCCGTTTGGCCTGGGCCCGCCACTGCCACTGCCGCCGCCATCCCTCCCGCATCGTCGAGCCTACTGCGCCTACTTTTACCACGAACAACAAAAGCTCGCCTCGTCCCCTTCTCCTCACACCCAAACCCCCCCTCTCTCTCCCCCTCTCCGCTGCCATCCCCCCGCCGACGAGAAAGCTCATAGACGAAACACATAGACTCCCTAGACGCATATACAACTTCTCTCGGGCATGATCGTCTAGACCCGTCGCGCACTACATTCAGTCGCTCGCTCTTACTCTCCCATCCTATCCTTACTATCCGCCCTGACCACCATGGGTATGTTTCCCTGCTGCGCATCCCTGCCTCACCTACACCTACTCACACCCACATCCATACCCACACCTACAATCTGCTATTCACAACTCACACTCTCCACGCCCTGCCGCGCCCACGACTAACATGCACTGAGCAGAAGCCAAACGCCAGTCGACCGAGGGTCTTGTCGACAACATGGACCCCCGCGAATCCCACGAGTTGGAGGAGCTGCCCACATTTGAGAAGCCGGTCGCAGAGCCACCATTATCGCTCAATGAACAGCTAATTACCTGTTTTTGGATTGGGTTAAACACTTTGTCAACGCTGGGCTTGATCTTCTTGAGCAAACGGTACGTCTGCTTTGGTTTATTCGCCTCCAACTGGATACAAGCGCACAGAAAAAGAAAGAGGAAAAAAAAGTCCATGACTGACGCCCACGGCCATGCAGAACATTCAGCGACCCCCAACTCAAAGCCTGCCAACTCATGGTCGTCATGTGGCACTTCACCGCAACCGGCCTCGTCCTCTTCCTCTCCACCCTGCGCCCCTTTTGCGCTTTCAAAGCTGTGCGCCTCAACATCTGGCAAATGCTGCCCGTCTGCGGTTTCTTCGCCGGCTACGTCGTCCTCGGCAACCTCTCGTTGACCTTCAACTCCATCGGCTTCTATCAGCTCTCCAAAGTCATGACCACCCCGACCGTCGTCCTCATCAACTTTGTCCTCTTCCGCAAGTACGTGACGCGCTACATGCTCGCCGCCATCCTCGCCACCTGCATCGGCGTCGCCTTCACCATCAACGAAGCCGCCAAAACCCAACTCTTTGGCGTCGTCGTCGCCACCCTGGCCTTCTGCAGCACTGCCCTTTACCAAATCTGGATCGGCAAGAAGATTGAAGACTTTGCCGTCTCCCCCCCGCAACTCCTCCTCAACCAAGCCCCCATTAGCGTCTGCCTGCTCATCCCTTTTGTCCCCTTCTTCGACACCATGCCCGATCTCAGCGTCGTGCCCACCAACATCCTCTGGTCGGCATGCGCGAGCGGCATCATGGCGAGCATGTACAATCTCTCGCAGTTTCTCATCATTGGCCGCACCAGCGCGCTCACCTTCAACATTGTCAGCCATCTCAAGACCATTCTCATCCTCAGCATCGGCTGGTATAGCGAGGGCAAGATTCTGAGCATGAGGGAGTGCTTTGGCGTCTTGTTGGCCTTGGGCGGCGGCTGGGTGTACTCGCATCTCGCGCTCAAGGCAAAGAAGCAGGGCAAGTAGGTGGCCAGTACGAGCGGAGAAGAAACCGTCCTTGTTTCTCCTTTTCCCCCAGAAATCCGTCTTTACACCATTTTCTCCACGGCGTGCGCGTGCATGGCGTCCAGCCTAGCAGGAATAGGGGCCGGAGACTGCGGATTCGAGACGTCGAGGCCATGGGCAAGGCTATGCTATGAGCTGTGTATTTGTTTCTTTTTTTGGGGCGAGGGTCTTGCTCCTTGCCCATGGACATGGCAGTACACACGCGAATCGGCCTACATTTGCATCCCCACTGCCCTTGGTTTTTCACGCACTTTTTGCATTATCATTATCATCATCGAGACTCCTCATATTTTCCCCTCTCCCGAGTCTAGCAAGCACATTAGCTAATCACCCTGTCTCGAGTTTATCTCACCTCACCCTCACCCCACCTCATCTATCCCCCCTTGCACACTCTGACCTCCCCAGGCCTGTTTTCCCCCTTTCCTTTTTTTTCCACGGCCTATGGTTTTGGGAGTTATTTTAGAGCCGTTTTGCGCGCGTCTTTGCGCCATTTATCTGTCTTTTGTTTCTTTGGTTGGCTGCTTTGTAGGGAGCATGTGGGTAATGGAGGGGAGGGGTGGGTTTTGCTTTGCTTTTTTTTATTTACATATATATATATTGTGCTGTTGTTGTATTGTGGTACTAGAATGGTTGAATTGGATTGGGGTTTTATGGCGATTGGGCGATTGGGCGATTAGGCGAGAGAGGGATGGGTTGGGTTGGGGTGTGGTGTGGTGTAGTGGGGAGGCAGATGGGGGTGGTGGAGGGGGTGGTGGAGATGGGATTTGGGTATTGAGATTGAGAATTATGTTGGGAGAATAAATGGATTGAGATGAAGATTGAAGGTTCAAGATTGAAGAAGACGAAGATGTGCCTTGTGATGATGGCGACAAGGCTGAAGTGTATGTCGTATCAACTACTTCCACACACAATTCACATCTTAATTATACGGAAAGTAGGTAGAGCGTCTCCGTTTCTCTCGTTCTCTCCTCGAAAAAAAGAAACAGGGGGAGTGGGGGAAGAGGGAAACGGGTTGTAGGTAGATGAGATTGCACCAAATAACGTAGTTATACTCACTACCTTTCAATCTATCAATCTATCAACGCACCGACTACATTTACCTCGATTCAATCCCCACCCTCTTCATACATGACCTCATCCTCAACCATAGCGCCCACAACCTTCCTATCCAGCCTCGCCTTCCGTCTGCTCTTTGCCCCTCTACCTGTCCTCCAGCTCGCACCTGCGCTTTTCATTCCCATCCTCCACCTCCCGTCTACCCAGACTCGGATTCGGAACTTCGGCTTGAGACGCCAAAGCCCACGCATCCTTGGCCGGAGATAGTCCGGGAAACCCGTCATTACTCGAGGTCTCTGTGGTCGCGGTGACGTGGGACGAGGATCCAGGCATTCCCACCGGGGGGAGACCGCTGAATGTATCCTGTTGGCTCCAATTCGCGTATCGCTGCCCAGACGGACATGGTGTCTACATCAAGTGCTGTTGCAATGTTGTGAATCGTGCGGCCGCGCTGAGGCTCCGTCGGAGCCGTGGCCGTGTCAAGATACGAGAGGACTCTAGCCTTGATCGGAGTCATACTTTGCAGCATCTCGCTATTCGCAGGCAACTCCAATGACGAATCGTGAATCTGGTCTCGCGAAAGAGGCGGGAGATGTGACGGGGGGTGCGAGAGGACCCAGGTATTTTGATCTGTGGTGTTGTGGATGTAGCCCTTTGCCGAGAGGTCTTGCACTGCTTTCAATGTTTCCAGCGGCGACTGACCAATCGTGTCGACGCTGCTTACAATGTCGGCAATGGTTTGGCCAAGGTACGAGCCAGGCCGGGTCCTGAGGTCGTGGGTCATGTGGTCGACGATTCTCTGCGCAAGAGGGCTGAGGGCTACTGGCGGTGCCATGATACCAGGTTGGGATATCTCAGTATTTTCGAGTGAATCCTTTGTGACGTTGATCGGCTTCGCTTCAGTCTCCGATGTCGTCGAACTCCGTTGAGCTGAGCTGGTACGGGAGCTAGAGCTCATGCTCGAAGTCATACCCATTAATTTCTTGATTCGAGATGGTAGACCACCAAATGTCCCACCGCTTTGCTCATGAGATGCCTTTCCTCCTTCCAAATCCGCTGATACTGCAGTTGTTTGAGAATTTGTTTGCGCTGACTCTTGTTTCTGTCTTGATGACACAGACGTGGATTTTTGAGAGTCATCTTCTTGTGAAATTGACCGCTTGGAGCTTTGCATAGAGTATTCCGCGTAATTCTTGCTCAGTGATACAAATGGCGTATCCGCTTCGTTGTCCCGGAAACTCTTTTCCACAGTTTGCAGCAACTTGACGGACAATGGGTACAATTCTGGCGGAACCATCAATTTGGCGTAGTGTCCATTCTGATTGGGTTTTGTGTGAATGCTCTGGTCCTCAATCATATGCATATGCGCGAGCAGGAGCTGAGCCTGAGCATAGCCTCTCGAACAAAGCTTGAGACCTTGTGCGTATAATTGATCGATGTTTTTACAGATTGTGCATTCTTCTGCATGCGATTCGAAACTAATGAGATAATGTTCTTCGTCGCTATTAACATCTCGAGAGATCTCTGGCTGCTTGTCAGGACGCACGTGGCGAAGTGCTTCACCAATAGAACTGAATAGCGTACGACGAGAGGTTCCCGTGGGCTCTACGGTCATCGATGTTCTCTTGACCTTTACTGCTCTCTTTGAGAACGACTCTGTCGTATCTTCCACTGGCGGGAAGTAGACTGGCAGAAGACTTTTGTAGACAAATTCGTCATCGGAGCTGTACACCACGAATATGATCTTCTCGATTGAATTGGTGGAATCTGCTGACTCCAGGAAGCTCTTCACCTCTTCCATGGCTAGGGAGGCGCTGTCGCGTCGTGGATAGTTTAGCATGCCTGTCCCGATACTTGGAAACGCAACCGAAGTGGCTCGCATCAACATGGCAGTGTGAAGGACTTCGCGGTATATACCTCGCATAATATCTTGGGTTTCCCTCCCATACTGCTCAGGTGGAATTGTGTGAAGTATGTGTTTTGCTGGCAGCATATAGCCTGGTGTGAGTTTGACATCGCCTTCTTGGCATGTGCCGAAAAACTGGACCTGATCGCGTAGTTCGGGGCCGCCCTTCTTGAACACGCTTCGGTCAAGCGTGCCCATGCCCAAAAATGACTCATCTGTCGAGTTGACCATGATGTCAACCTCTAATCGTGTTATATCCTCTCTCGTTAGATAGACAGAGTGGTTCAATTTAGCCGAAGGAGTGACTGTCGTAGACCTCCTGCTGAGCTCACCAAGCTGATAGAGTTTGGCCAAGGAGGTAATTTGTTCTAATTTGACAGTGTTCTGTCGTTGATCACCGCCTTTCTGACGAATTTCGCGGGCGTGTGAGACCTTGTCAGTATGGAAACGGACATTTTGATTATCACGTCCTTCCTGTAGAGCGCCAGAGTCCCCCAATGTATCGCTCCAGCCCAATGTCGCCTCGGTTTCAGTTCCATTATATGCTACAATCTTATCCAGGTGTTTCACGGACTTTCGACAGGCCATTAGCATCTGGACAAGATCTGTGCCGTAACTATCTCTCATGTGCCGGTTGTATCTGTCCCAGTAGGTTTCATAGTTCTCCCATGCGCCTCTCGTGTCATTTGTCTTGTCAATAGTCTCCATAATTCGCTGGCATGTTGTTTGCAATACTGAGTAAATTGGAGTGACATCGTCCAGGATCGTGTCGATTTCTTGAGGTCCCAGTAGAAAGGTGCGGAACGACGCCAAGGAAGCATCCATGGAACTGAATTCGCTGATAATGTTGCTGTCGAAGTCTGGAACAAGCAAGCTAAATTCTGCGGGAAATCTCTCTCTGGCCACTTGCAGCTGCCTGCGAGTTTCAAGTACCTGAGTCGCCAAGGTAGCCAGGTTGGCATAATGACTTGGTCTTCTGGCTGGATCCAAATCCGTTTGTGTCGGTGGAAAGAAAACTGGGAAGAATTCCATGTATGCTTTGTTGTCAATTTCGCTGTTGACACAAAACACTATACGCTGAAATGGATAGTCAGAATGTGCGTCGAGGTACTCACGAACCTCTTGTAGGGCTATGCGCGCAGCTATGCGCGGAGGAAACCCACATCCGCCAGCGCCTAGACTTGGGAATGCTATCGTCTTGAATACATGATTTTTTGCAATTTTCAAGGCACTGCGGTAGCACTCGGTAAGCACATTAAATTGGCCCATACCCTTACTTTTGGCATATTGTGGCCTCGCAGCATGGATAATCCAATCACTGGGCAGATTATGACCATGACTGAGCTCAGCCTGCCCAGCCTTGAGCTTGGCTTTGAACTTTGTCTCCTGCAATAGGCCTGGACCAGCAGCTCGGTGAACAGCATTGTTGAGGGTCCATTCTGCTTTTGTTGGCAAAAGTCCACAATTGGCGCTGTTTACAATTGCATCGACTTTAAGCCGTGTCAAATCGTAATAACAAAAGGATATCATCTGGTTGTAAGTATCATTAGGCGCGTAGCTCTGCTCGCTTTGAAGCAGCTTGCGGGATCGGTATAGGGAACTTAATGTAGGGATATCGGATATACCGATGGCAGGGAGTTTTCTTGATCTTTGCTCTTCGTCCTCGTATGCCACAGACGCTGGTGACTCACTTCGATCAGCACCAGCATCCTCTGTGTTGTTGGTTGGTCGTCGATTCGGTGGAGCCTTCTTGCCTGTATAAACACATGCTCAGTACGTTCTCACATAGGGTTGTCTTGAGCATTCACGGAATTTCGCCAAAGGTTGTGGATCTAATATGAGCCACTGCCCAATAGATCGTGCAAACTTCTCAAAGCATGTGCGAAGAGCAACAATTTTTCTTTCACTTACCGTGAGATAGATTTGGTGAGACGAACTTGAGTATTTCCGGAAACTTCGCGCTCTGACGAAGTATGATCTTTGGGAATTGGGCTTTGTTGAATAGTTTCATTGCTTCCGTAGCTGCAGCACCGTCCGTAAAGCTTGCACGCCCAGTCCAAGAGCCATAACGTTTGTCTAGAGAAGGGGAAAGATCCGTCAGTTTGTGTTCCAGACGTTATTCGCACATGTACGTACAAAATCGAACCATTGTAGCTCCTGGCATCGATAAGAGGTGGACTTTGAAAGCCTCGCGTTGCTCGAGATGCCTCTCAAGCTCGGCTGGAGTCTCTTCTTCCTGGTTAACATCCAAAATGCTAGTTTCGTTTTCGTTTTCGTCAGACTGGCTGTTAATCTCTCTAGCTATCTCAGAATCATCCGTGAATTTAAGGTGGCTTGCTACCATGTCCACTCGATTGAGACTCAAGTCTGGTAGTTGCTGTAGAATTTCGGCCGACAAAACAGCTCGTTCGATTCCTGTTTCCAGTTCCGGATTGAATGACTGGGCGGTCTTTATATCATCTGCGATCCAATCATTAGTTTGGACTTTACTTTGACTGTAGTCAGAACAAAAACTCGGGGCTTTGTGCACCCACCACCAATGTCCCATTCATCCATTTTCGATACATCCTGAATTGAATCATCGCTTTCAGTCGTTGGATTCGTGATGATATGTGAAACTGTACTGCCGGAACCGCCGCGGCTTGCAACGCCACTTGCACCATCGGAATCTCCCCCTACGCCACTGGGCAGAGCGAATGTTGCCATCCGCTCCAAATGATTCGCTACATGACTTTGGAAGTCACCCAGACCGTCAGTATCCGCAGGAGCGAAACAAATTGGACAACTCTTCCGCACATCCACAGTAGTCGTTTCCCCAACCTTCACAATTGTTGGCAATTGACTCTCAGGGAAGCTAGCAAGATGTTCCCGCCGGAGATGGCCTTCCAAACCTGACTCAGATTTGTAAACCGCGTCCGGATGTTCTGGACATCTCCAAACTTTGCGATGGCTGGCCTCGTGCTCAATCCACTCCCTTCGACTGCGAAAGAGCCGTTCTGATCGATCACAATTTGCATATGTGCAGCAGTATGGTTGCAAATCTTGAAGGATATGAGTCCTCCAGGCGCGTCCCCGACCGTATCGCGCCGGACAGATGATGTAACAGTAGGGACATTCGAAATCTCTGTCACCAGTAGCTGCTGTGGGAGGTGGTGGTAGATCTACACCTCGACCTTGTATGTCTTTGACAGTTACGGCGTAGCTGGTAACGGATTTCGTATCGACAATTTCGTCCAAAGACTGATGATAATATGTCGCTTCCGTACCTGACAGCAATGTTTTTCCAGTTTTCTGACTCTGGGCTTCCTTTGACAAGACCACCTTTGGATTTTCCTGGTGAATGTTGCAATTAGCGGAAGTTCCAAGTCGATCCGGAATCTAGGGTCACTCGCTGATGGGTTGAAGCCCCAAAGCACATGTGTTGAAAGTTTGACCGCTTTGTTTTGGTTGTACTACTTATAGGATTGAAAAATAAACCAACATGTGATTAAATAAGGCACTTACAAGTTTGTTTGGTATATTTTCATCTTTCAAGGAGGCAACAGGAAGCTTCGTAAACGGTGCCATAGGCATAGACCCTTCTTCAGACGTTGTCGTTGCACCCAATTTATCTCGATCTACTCAATGTCAGCACACGGGGCTCACCATTCTGCTCGAACTTACGTCGCTTCCAGTATTTGAACTGTCGTCTTCGCAACGTGATAGCTGCGCTCAGCCGTGCCGAGAGAAAATCTTCATCAGCTTGCGCCTCCGTTACGAAAGGCCGTCGTAGGGCTGTAAGAACCTCCGTGATGTGCGCATCATCATATTTAGCATACGCAATCATGATGTCGACACCTGTTTCGGGATCCTTTGGCGCGTAAGATGCTGCTTTGAGAGATCTCAGACGTATCGTAGGTGTTCTGATACGGACACTCAGCTTGTATAGATTGTCGATGATATCCACAACTTCCGAGAAACGCATGCTCATTTCAGTCTTGGACCTTTCGGGTCCTTGATCGCCTCCGCCGTTATCTTCATCGTCACTGAAGAAGCTGTCGTCGTCTTCTTCCCCAGTGACATCTTCTGACCTCGGTTGCTGTTCATAGGGTAGACGCGCTCCAGATACTATAGCGTATGCTTCTGTGAGGTTTTGTTCAAGCTCCTGCAGGAGCTTGAGGGCATTGCCAGACAGGAGCGGGGAGTCGCGTAATCGATAGTCGAGCGAACTGTGCCCTTTTTGTAAGGCACCCAAATTTCCAGACCAGACTCTCAATCGGCCAAATTCATCCTCAAGTGCTTCGGCATCTATCGTGATGGCCAAATCGCCCTGATTTACGTCGAGAGCATGGAGTAAGCTGTGAAATGCTTGTACGTTTGCGGCGGTGGCAAGTCGTAACTTAGACATAGCGACATCTCAAACCCCAGCCGATATACTGTTGATATTTGGGCCCTCAGCATGGATGAGGGCGAATGTTCAAGAGGTGCTTTGGATTTTTCCAATGGGCTGAAATTTGAAAGTGTCCAAGCGAGCGATGCAGTTTGGTGTTGAAGTCGGGCTTTTCAGCTTCTATACGGTGGGTAGTTGACGAGTAGGACAATGACATGTGTTCTTCAACCTGTCTTTTGTTGCAAGATGCAGTGTACCTTGTTATGATCAGGTGGTAGGTGATTATTCTATCACGGGTTGTTGGTTCCTTAGGGAACCTTTGGAAGGCTTCAGCTGTACAGCGGCATAGGTATAAGTTACGTTAGGGCGACGAAGCTAGGACAATTCCAGTCTGGTGCCGGCGCCTCAACTATTCGGAATGGCATCTGACAAGCTTCAGCTTTTGATGGAGATGGAGCAGGACTGGTCATAAGAACACGCCAGATGGTGGTATGTGGATTATAATGGTGTGACGTCGGTGCGTTACTTCGAGGCATTCTTACCCCGCTTACCGGTATGCGCTGCTCCAGCACGCGATAATAACCATGGCGCAGGAACAATTTTGGGCACATTACATTCAGTATGAGTGGTGTAGAGGTAGCTGGACTGGTGCTCGGATGTTTGCCGTTGATTATACAAGGTGTGTACAGTCTATGCTATTTGCATTCAGCTCATTGACAGAGTTCCAGGCATCGAGAGCTACAATGAAGGACTTGATCCCATCAAATCCTTCATGAGATGGGAGCAGCAGCTGCCACAATTCATACGGAAGCTTAGGACACAACATGTCCATTACGCGCTGTCGATACGGTACTAGTGGAGTCGGTCGATATCGTCTACTAGATAACTAAGACTGGCAGGTATCTCCTCGAGCCTATCACGTCCGAAGTCGAACTGGACGAGATGCTAGCGGATCCAGGGTCCTCACAGCAGCTATGGAAGAGCAAGGAAATGGCACTCAGGTTGCAGGATAGGCTTCAAGAGTCTTACCAGGCATACCACAATACAATAACAGATATTGAGCGGATTACCAAGCTGATAGCAAGCAAGCTGGATCTTGAACGGGCTACTGAAGTAAGAGCATTCCGCATACCTTCGCCCTTACATTGCGCTTATCTAAGTCATCCTAGCTTACCCGCAATGATCTCGAATCCTTAGTCGCCGCCAACCCAAAGAAGGGCGATAAATTCGAGCTCCGGAAGCGAATTCGATTTGGGATGAACAAGAAGACCATCAAAGGACTACTGAACGAGCTTGACGAGTGCAACAAGGAGCTTGAGAGATTCAGTGAAAAGACGGAGAAGATTCAGACTTATCGAAAGTCCGTTAAACCAGCAAACGCGACGCGTGTTCGACGATTGCAAGGCTACGCAAAGAGTCTCCATGATTCCCTCACGCTGTGCTGGTCGTGTGCATGCAGATCCTCCCACAGGTCTAATTTGCAATTAGACCCACGAGATGATTTGTTTGACAGAGGACCAAAGAAGGCCACTATTTCCTCTAAGATCAGTTTCAATGTCTCATTTTCCACACTGGATACCGACAACAAGCAGACACCATGGCTGTGGCAAGCGGCTGAGATCTCAATTGAAGATGAACCTGAAGAAGACACGGCCAACCTCACAGCATTTTCACCGTCAAAATCTAAGTCAGTCGCATCCTTAGCTGTATTGCCTAGATACTACTCAGTGCTAATTTGTATAGGATTGCCAAGACTGTCAGCTTTGGTACGCCACCACCATATTCTGTGGATGACCCTATTATCGCTTCTGCTGGGCCACTGGAAGAAGTGAAAGACCTATGCGCGTCAATACAGCAGCTGAAAGGTAAATCAGCTATTGGATTTTCGCTTGACAGTAAGAGCATCCTCAGAGGCGTCTATCGTGTCGATACTGTCAGGAAAATTCCATCCTCACCAGGCGCAATATCACTGGATGATCTACTGGCCCGCCCCTCAGTGTTGGGAGGGAAACGCACAAAGCTGAGCAAGCGGGATAGATACAGTCTAGCTTTGACTCTTGCATGTAGTGTGCTCTATTTGAACTCTACTCCATGGCTCACCAACCAGTGGACTGCGAAGGATATATTCTTCCACAAAAGTGGCACAACCCCTTGCGATATTGATATCGAGCACCCGTACGTCGCTCCGGGCACTGTCAATCTCACCACAGGTCAGAGTCCATGCAGCTGGAAGAACAAGAACACAGTCTTACTCGCACTGGCCATCGCCCTCCTCGAGCTCTACTTTGGTATAACAGCAGAGAAATACCAGGAGTCAGAGCATGGCGCTACCGACCCAGCCCTGCATCAGAACCCCTGGCAACTCTGCTCCATGGTCCACACGTGGGCAGAAGAATCGCAAGATGACCTCTCGGCAGCGTTTCTGAGCGCCGTGAAGCACTGTCTTCACTGCTTCAGCGAGCCTGGGGCTAGCTTGCAGGACGCGGAGTTCTTGCAAGCGGCAGTGGAGGGTATCGTATTGCCGCTACAGGAAGAATTGTCTCATTTTCTGGGCAAATCAATGACATGAGAGGTTTGAAGGCATGAGAGACGTTGGGTTGCCATCCTCGGCAACAGTGGTGCCGCTTCATGACAGGTGCCTTTCTTGCATTAACTCAGCGGGCTATCCGTCATGTCGCTTGTAATAAGCCTATGTACCCTATATCAAGACGTGGCTTGTTCTACGGCCACGCAGGGTATGGGACATTTTAGTCTGTACACTCTAGAGGCCGCCTTGCACAGTTGCTCTATACTTGTGGGCATCATTCAGTGTCGTCGCCAACAGTAAAGCCAACAAAATGCAAGGATAGAATGTGACCAACTCAGTGTGAGAAGTCTACTACTGGATCCTATGCCTGACAGGCTAAAAGCCTGTAACTGAAGCAACACCATTGGAGATGATGCAAAACTGACGTAGTATTCAGACTGCGTTCCAAGGTTTCCCGTCATCTTCCCCTGAGCGAAGTGCACCACGTAAGCTTTGGGCAAAGCTTGCGTGCTCACACCCCCCCAAACATTGTTTTCCAGGATCTCGCCGTCGGCCCAATCTGGCGTAGCTGCAAATCTCGATGAGCAGAGTACGATGAGCCGTGTACATCATCTCGTATTGCTTCACATCATTTCTCGTATCCGGGCCCAGGCGCTCGGTGTTCGGATCTGGGGTAAAATGTGCTAGTGTGCAGAGTCTTTGAACGTCGAGGAAAATAATGGGTACCCTAGGTATAAGTTGCCCATGCAAAACGCTCATCTTTGGGAAACGAAATGGACAATCTGCTCATAGCCGACTCGGCTAGGAAGGCGTTGTGGCGACAGGGTGAACGCACAGCTGTCTAAAAATAAGCAGCCCCCTCTGTCCGCCACAAGCACTTGCAGGGACAGCGAGGGGAGCGTTGTGGCTCATGATTGCGTGTGGGTGGCAAGACATTTCAAGCTTTTCCGTAGGAAACAGAGGAGATGGTGGAGAAAAGCGGTTGCTTGGCGTGTGGGCAGGGAAAGGGGAAGAAACCTTGAAGAGGAGTGGAGTGGAGTGGAGTCGGAGACTCTGGCTGTGTACCGGTAGGCTGAGCGAATGCACGCAATCACACGCGCGTGTCACTCGAGATAACGCACCTGTGCGAGGCATCTTGCAGGCGACGTGAAACAAGACTCGATGGCGAGAGAGATGCATATTGCCTACTTCTAGCTCTGCTTCAAACGGGTTTGGACGTTTGCGCAGCAGGCTGAAGCTTGCGACGACGTCAGAATGGCGGAGAGGGAGAGTAAGGGCATTCGACACGTCACTCGATTTAGGATCTGTGAATGTGGTTGCAGATGCGCAGACCCCATGACATCTGGGTGCATGAGGGGGGGGGGGGAGAAACGATGGTCTAGATGAGTTGCAGCTAGTGTATTGGCAGAAGCTGATACAAACCGTAGTAGAGTATGAAGTTGCCATCATGTTATTAATATACCACGTTATATGTATGTATGAACGGTCAGGTTCGAAGTGAGACAAGTGCGATGCAGTAGGAAGGTCTGAAAGGAGGTTGACAAGGGGAAAACAAGGGGGGCGCCCATTCCATGTGATTGATCTGTCCAACAGAGCCAGCCAGCCTATTGAGTGTCCAAGGAGCCCTTGAACCAGACTTGTAAAGTTTTGCGCCGCTTCCGACACCACGGCGTCAAAGCGTAGCAGCGACAGAGCGCGCAAAGACTGGCGGCTGGGAGCGGGCATGGCTGATGAAGGCGTGGTGGCTTCGGGAACGGCTCATGTTGGCGCATATGCACACCTGAAACAAAGGGCTTCGGCTGGAGACAACCAGGCGGGGATCAGGCGGCGAATGGATGCAGAGGGATGCGAATGAATGGGCCACGGCCAAATCCTAGAGCAGAGCAGATTGGCCTCCTTTTCCTACCTATCAAGATCGCTGTGGGATGATGGGCAGCCGGAAAAGGGGAGAAGAAGAGAGGATCAGTTGGCCAGTTGAGCAGTTGATGTACTCGAGCAGTGTAATGCATGCTATCAGTGGCCAAGATGAGCAGCAGCAACACATTATCCTCATGATGCCTACCCAGGTACATAGCACTCGACTCCCTAGTTAGTAGTACTCACTCCATGTTACAGTGAGAGTATTTGTGTACGCGCTGCTATTAATAGGGGCCAGACTGGGGTTGTGTGAACGGGTTGAGAGAGAGAGAGAGAGAGCAGATTCGCGGGTAAGAGGTAAAGTAGGCGCGGAGGTTGGGCCCAGTAGATAGGCTACAAACAAGCCTAACAAAGGCCGACAACGAACGCTTAGGTATTGTAAACAGCCGCGGCGCCCATTCCACTAGGTAAGTACTGCTTCTACTGCTACTACTGCTTCTACTGCTTCTACTGCTTCTACTGCTTCTACTGCTTCTACTGCTACTACTGCTACTACTGCTACTACTGCTACTACTATCATTACTACCACGACCACCACACCCCCACCACAACCACCTGCCCTTCCTCAGCAGCACCAGCAGCAGCAGTGGGAGAGTTTGCCACTTTTTGCTCAGTCTGTCTGTTGTATGCGTTGTCTCGTACAAGTACTACCCTACACAGCAGAGTACCCAGGCACTTCACTTGGGCTTAGCACACGGCCAAATTGTGGAATCCACCACGCCGCGCGAGTCAATTCCAGGGTGCCCTGAACGCCAAGCCAAGCACGTTCGGCACCCCTTTCGTCGAACGTCACCTCCACTTTCTCCGACCGCAATTCAAGCCTCAAGCTCTGCTGCCAACCTGCCAGCTGCCAACCTGCCAGCTGCCAACCTGCCAACCACCCCCCATCCCCTCCCCCCCCCTCCCTCTCTTCCCTTCGACCGCCATATTCTTCTCTACCAACTAAAAAAAAATACCCCCCAAAAAAAACAAACCCCCCCTTCCTT